AAACAAAAAAAACAAAAGGGGTACCACTGTCGTTTTTTTTTCGGGTCGAATTTTTGAGTTTCGATATCTCAGCTCTGGAAGGGTCTAGAGCCTCCATTTTTGCACTCAGGTCTAAGTCTCATGGCCCTCTATCAGAATCCAGAGTTTTGAGAAGATTGGAGAACCTTAATTTTTCGCCCGAAAAACAAAAAAAACAAAAGGGGTACCACTGTCGTTTTTTTTTTCGGGTCGAATTTTTGAGTTTCGATATCTCAGCTCTGGAAGGGTCTAGAGCCTCCATTTTTGCACTCAGGTCTAAGTCTCATGGCCCTCTATCAGAATCCAGAGTTTTGAGAAGATTGGAGAACCTTAATTTTTCGCCCGAAAAACAAAAAAAACAAAAGGGGTACCACTGTCGTTTTTTTTTTCGGGTCGAATTTTTGAGTTTCGATATCTCAGCTCTGGAAGGGTCTAGAGCCTCCATTTTTGCACTCAGGTCTAAGTCTCATGGCCCTCTATCAGAATCCAGAGTTTTGAGAAGATTGGAGAACCTTAATTTTTCGCCCGAAAAAAAAAAAAACAAAAGGGGTACCACTGTCGTTTTTTTTTTCGGGTCGAATTTTTGAGTTTCGATATCTCAGCTCTGGAAGGGTCTAGAGCCTCCATTTTTGCACTCAGGTCTAAGTCTCATGGCCCTCTATCAGAATCCAGAGTTTTGAGAAGATTGGAGAACCTTAATTTTTCGCCCGAAAAAAAAAAAAACAAAAGGGGTACCACTGTCGTTTTTTTTTTCGGGTCGAATTTTTGAGTTTCGATATCTCAGCTCTGGAAGGGTCTAGAGCCTCCATTTTTGCACTCAGGTCTAAGTCTCATGGCCCTCTATCAGAATCCAGAGTTTTGAGAAGATTGGAGAACCTTAATTTTTCGCCCGAAAAAAAAAAAAAACAAAAGGGGTACCACTGTCGTTTTTTTTTTCGGGTCGAATTTTTGAGTTTCGATATCTCAGCTCTGGAAGGGTCTAGAGCCTCCATTTTTGCACTCAGGTCTAAGTCTCATGGCCCTCTATCAGAATCCAGAGTTTTGAGAAGATTGGAGAACCTTAATTTTTCGCCCGAAAAACAAAAAAAAACAAAAGGGGTACCACTGTCGTTTTTTTTTTCGGGTCGAATTTTTGAGTTTCGATATCTCAGCTCTGGAAGGGTCTAGAGCCTCCATTTTTGCACTCAGGTCTAAGTCTCATGGCCCTCTATCAGAATCCAGAGTTTTGAGAAGATTGGAGAACCTTAATTTTTCGCCCGAAAAAAAAAAAAACAAAGGGGTACCACTGTCGTTTTTTTTTTCGGGTCGAATTTTTGAGTTTCGATATCTCAGCTCTGGAAGGGTCTAGAGCCTCCATTTTTGCACTCAGGTCTAAGTCTCATGGCCCTCTATCAGAATCCAGAGTTTTGAGAAGATTGGAGAACCTTAATTTTTCGCCCGAAAAAAAAAAAAAAAGGGGTACCACTGTCGTTTTTTTTTCGGGTCGAATTTTTGAGTTTCGATATCTCAGCTCTGGAAGGGTCTAGAGCCTCCATTTTTGCACTCAGGTCTAAGTCTCATGGCCCTCTATCAGAATCCAGAGTTTTGAGAAGATTGGAGAACCTTAATTTTTCGCCCGAAAAAAAAAAAAACAAAAGGGGTACCACTGTCGTTTTTTTTTCGGGTCGAATTTTTGAGTTTCGATATCTCAGCTCTGGAAGGGTCTAGAGCCTCCATTTTTGCACTCAGGTCTAAGTCTCATGGCCCTCTATCAGAATCCAGAGTTTTGAGAAGATTGGAGAACCTTAATTTTTCGCCCGAAAAAAAAAAAACAAAAGGGGTACCACTGTCGTTTTTTTTTTCGGGTCGAATTTTTGAGTTTCGATATCTCAGCTCTGGAAGGGTCTAGAGCCTCCATTTTTGCACTCAGGTCTAAGTCTCATGGCCCTCTATCAGAATCCAGAGTTTTGAGAAGATTGGAGAACCTTAATTTTTCGCCCGAAAAACAAAAAAAACAAAAGGGGTACCACTGTCGTTTTTTTTTTCGGGTCGAATTTTTGAGTTTCGATATCTCAGCTCTGGAAGGGTCTAGAGCCTCCATTTTTGCACTCAGGTCTAAGTCTCATGGCCCTCTATCAGAATCCAGAGTTTTGAGAAGATTGGAGAACCTTAATTTTTCGCCCGAAAAAAAAAAAAAACAAAAGGGGTACCACTGTCGTTTTTTTTTTCGGGTCGAATTTTTGAGTTTCGATATCTCAGCTCTGGAAGGGTCTAGAGCCTCCATTTTTGCACTCAGGTCTAAGTCTCATGGCCCTCTATCAGAATCCAGAGTTTTGAGAAGATTGGAGAACCTTAATTTTTCGCCCGAAAAAAAAAAAAACAAAAGGGGTACCACTGTCGTTTTTTTTTTCGGGTCGAATTTTTGAGTTTCGATATCTCAGCTCTGGAAGGGTCTAGAGCCTCCATTTTTGCACTCAGGTCTAAGTCTCATGGCCCTCTATCAGAATCCAGAGTTTTGAGAAGATTGGAGAACCTTAATTTTTCGCCCGAAAAAAAAAAAAAACAAAAGGGGTACCACTGTCGTTTTTTTTTCGGGTCGAATTTTTGAGTTTCGATATCTCAGCTCTGGAAGGGTCTAGAGCCTCCATTTTTGCACTCAGGTCTAAGTCTCATGGCCCTCTATCAGAATCCAGAGTTTTGAGAAGATTGGAGAACCTTAATTTTTCGCCCGAAAAACAAAAAAAACAAAAGGGGTACCACTGTCGTTTTTTTTTTCGGGTCGAATTTTTGAGTTTCGATATCTCAGCTCTGGAAGGGTCTAGAGCCTCCATTTTTGCACTCAGGTCTAAGTCTCATGGCCCTCTATCAGAATCCAGAGTTTTGAGAAGATTGGAGAACCTTAATTTTTCGCCCGAAAAACAAAAAAACAAAAGGGGTACCACTGTCGTTTTTTTTTTCGGGTCGAATTTTTGAGTTTCGATATCTCAGCTCTGGAAGGGTCTAGAGCCTCCATTTTTGCACTCAGGTCTAAGTCTCATGGCCCTCTATCAGAATCCAGAGTTTTGAGAAGATTGGAGAACCTTAATTTTTCGCCCGAAAAACAAAAAAAACAAAAGGGGTACCACTGTCGTTTTTTTTTTCGGGTCGAATTTTTGAGTTTCGATATCTCAGCTCTGGAAGGGTCTAGAGCCTCCATTTTTGCACTCAGGTCTAAGTCTCATGGCCCTCTATCAGAATCCAGAGTTTTGAGAAGATTGGAGAACCTTAATTTTTCGCCCGAAAAAAAAAAAACAAAAGGGGTACCACTGTCGTTTTTTTTTTCGGGTCGAATTTTTGAGTTTCGATATCTCAGCTCTGGAAGGGTCTAGAGCCTCCATTTTTGCACTCAGGTCTAAGTCTCATGGCCCTCTATCAGAATCCAGAGTTTTGAGAAGATTGGAGAACCTTAATTTTTCGCCCGAAAAACAAAAAAAACAAAAGGGGTACCACTGTCGTTTTTTTTTTCGGGTCGAATTTTTGAGTTTCGATATCTCAGCTCTGGAAGGGTCTAGAGCCTCCATTTTTGCACTCAGGTCTAAGTCTCATGGCCCTCTATCAGAATCCAGAGTTTTGAGAAGATTGGAGAACCTTAATTTTTCGCCCGAAAAACAAAAAAAACAAAAGGGGTACCACTGTCGTTTTTTTTTTCGGGTCGAATTTTTGAGTTTCGATATCTCAGCTCTGGAAGGGTCTAGAGCCTCCATTTTTGCACTCAGGTCTAAGTCTCATGGCCCTCTATCAGAATCCAGAGTTTTGAGAAGATTGGAGAACCTTAATTTTTCGCCCGAAAAACAAAAAAAACAAAAGGGGTACCACTGTCGTTTTTTTTTTGGGTCGAATTTTTGAGTTTCGATATCTCAGCTCTGGAAGGGTCTAGAGCCTCCATTTTTGCACTCAGGTCTAAGTCTCATGGCCCTCTATCAGAATCCAGAGTTTTGAGAAGATTGGAGAACCTTAATTTTTCGCCCGAAAAAAAAAAAAACAAAAGGGGTACCACTGTCGTTTTTTTTTCGGGTCGAATTTTTGAGTTTCGATATCTCAGCTCTGGAAGGGTCTAGAGCCTCCATTTTTGCACTCAGGTCTAAGTCTCATGGCCCTCTATCAGAATCCAGAGTTTTGAGAAGATTGGAGAACCTTAATTTTTCGCCCGAAAAACAAAAAAAACAAAAGGGGTACCACTGTCGTTTTTTTTTCGGGTCGAATTTTTGAGTTTCGATATCTCAGCTCTGGAAGGGTCTAGAGCCTCCATTTTTGCACTCAGGTCTAAGTCTCATGGCCCTCTATCAGAATCCAGAGTTTTGAGAAGATTGGAGAACCTTAATTTTTCGCCCGAAAAACAAAAAAAACAAAAGGGGTACCACTGTCGTTTTTTTTTTCGGGTCGAATTTTTGAGTTTCGATATCTCAGCTCTGGAAGGGTCTAGAGCCTCCATTTTTGCACTCAGGTCTAAGTCTCATGGCCCTCTATCAGAATCCAGAGTTTTGAGAAGATTGGAGAACCTTAATTTTTCGCCCGAAAAAAAAAAAAAACAAAAGGGGTACCACTGTCGTTTTTTTTTTCGGGTCGAATTTTTGAGTTTCGATATCTCAGCTCTGGAAGGGTCTAGAGCCTCCATTTTTGCACTCAGGTCTAAGTCTCATGGCCCTCTATAAGAATCCAGAGTTTTGAGAAGATTGGAGAACCTTAATTTTTCGCCCGAAAAACAAAAAAAACAAAAGGGGTACCACTGTCGTTTTTTTTTTTGGGTCAAATTTTTGAGTTTCGATATCTCAGCTCTGGAAGGGTCTTACACATACTAGGAAAAACATGGAAAATCATGGAATTTTCAAATGTCTCATGGTTCCCCTCAGAATCTATCGGTGGCCATGAGAGCCTCACTCAAAAGTGTGATAAAGTGTGTTTTAATCTAAATATATATTTGCCGTACACTCCTCTGATAACCGTGTGCATGCTTGTGCTGTCAGATGTGGAGCAGCTGCTGTCTCCAGGCCAGCAGGAGGAGAGGTCAGAGGTCAGCCGCCAGTGAGGCTTCCACACACGTTCATGTGGGATAAGAGTGAGTCTCATAGTCCTGTCGGGAGCAGATCCGGAGCGGATGAAGCCCAGTGTACGGGAGCATGAAGATCCCCGTATTTCAGCCTGAATCCCCAACACACACACCGCTAGCGTTTGCCTGTCTTGCTGACTTACACGCGCCCGTTTCCCAGAAACACCCAGTCAAGAGATTCAGCAGACGGCAGAAGACGCATTAATGAGGAGCTTCAGTTCCCTCTGATTTCTGCTAACCTGGACGTGTTCAGTGAGATCCACTCTTATATTAATCATGTCTCTGAGGGCAAATGAAGATCGTTTTAAACTACACTACTGTCAGATCCAGCAATACTATGATGACCCATATGTCTGCTTTTAGGGGATGTAATCAGATATATTTATGATAATATAATGCCATGCACTCAGCTACTTGTCTTTGATCAGATGTAGGTTTTAATTTAAAGTTCATCAGCACTGTGTGTGTGTGTGTGGGAATGTGTTCCTCTGGTTTCTCATGCACTGATTTTGTGTGTGTGTGTGTGTGTGTGTGTGGGAGTGTCTATCTTCTGGTTTCTCCTTTACCAAGTGTGTGTGTTTCTGCAGACTGAAGGCCTTGCAAACACTGCTCTAGTTTTGTTCTTCTTCAGACTCTGCTGTCGCTTTATAAACCAGATGAAGTGTAAATATTGTAGAATCGAGGGTAACTGGAAGCAGTAGGAGATGTGATGATGAAATGGTGAGTTTGCAGTGCATGTTCTCTGTAATGTAACCTGAATAAAGGCTGATTTTACTGAAGTGTGTGTGTGTCATGAGGAGCTTGAGAGATAACGTTCGTATTGTTAAGAGATGGGTAAGCACACCACACCATACCATTTACTAAAGACACTTTTCCCTTTACTGTGTTAGAACTGAAGAGTCACAGCACTTACACACTGTTGTCCCAACATGACATCATGACTTTTGCGTAAACAAACATGGTTATATACATCTTTCTTTTTCTCAGTCTCCTTATCCTGCCCTATTCCACAACCCCCTGAACTTTGACTGATAGTCTTTCATTTTCGTCTGTGTCAGTGAAGTACAGTATAGGCTTAACTGATAATTATATGTTTTATGAATCATTATCTTAAACAAGTTAATTTACTCAAGGCTACCAGGTCAGTATTGCCACCTTCTACAAGCTTTGGAATTTAAAAAGTAATTTTAAATAATTCAAATTATACGTTTAACGCAGTTGGTGGAATTGGCTGACGTTCCCTCATCATGCGCTGCGCAAAGCATTCTATTTTGAGGTTTTTTTCAACTCTAAACTTTTGAGCTGGCCCAAAAATAAAATAGTTTAAATGAGCCTTGCCTATAACGAAATACATAGCCTAACTATTGATTTAAAGTTAAACATGATAATAAATATAGCATTTTTACAGAATATAAATTAATAGATCAAATACAATTCTGCCAATGTGAATAAAAATGCCTGTAAGGAATCACTTACGCAGGTAAAACCAGAGTTTATACCAGAGTAAATAATAAATGGTTTTTGCATTCTAAATAATAGAACATTTCTCAGTGATCGTAAATAAAACAAAATAAATTTTTTCTCGGTTTAATGAAAACCAATAGGTCGTTATGGCCATGATATCTATGGTTATGTCAGAGGCGATTGCGTGTAAAAACATCCGGGTATCTCCACTGGAGCGTGTTAACGCAAACGTCTAAGTTTCACGTTTGAGAGGGTTAAACCGTGACATCTACACGTTTTCCAAAGTGGACCATTTAGGCTGCTTTATTAAAAACGTGACATTTAGACGTTTTGTTTCGGCGTGGATCGAGGCAAATTAATCCTTTTCACATTGGAAATAATTCATGTTTTTTGGATTTTAAATAATAGACCATTTGCAGTGATTGTCAATAAAATTAAATTCCATTTTTCTCGGTTTAATGAAAACCGATAGGTCGTTATGGTAAGTTTAAGTGTAACTTTCACGTTTGAGGGGGTTAAACCGCGACATCTACACGTTTTCCAAAGTGGACCAACGTGATTATTTCACGTCTTGTCGTGATACCGGGTTGTTTTGGCCACTTTGTTTGATATAATCACTACAATTTAATGTAAGCAAGAATGGGATTTGAACTCAGGTCTTCTTGATTAAAGCCCATCGCTATATCAACTAAGCCACCATTCTACAGCCTCCATTTTTGCACCCAGGTAAGTCTCATTTCGCCCGAAAAAACAAAAAAAAACAAAAGGGGTACCACTGTCGTTTTTTTTTTCGGGTCGAATTTTTGAGTTTCGATATCTCAGCTCTGGAAGGGTCTAGAGCCTCCATTTTTGCACTCAGGTCTAAGTCTCATGGCCCTCTATCAGAATCCAGAGTTTTGAGAAGATTGGAGAACCTTAATTTTTCGCCCGAAAAACAAAAAAAACAAAAGGGGTACCACTGTCGTTTTTTTTTTCGGGTCGAATTTTTGAGTTTCGATATCTCAGCTCTGGAAGGGTCTAGAGCCTCCATTTTTGCACTCAGGTCTAAGTCTCATGGCCCTCTATCAGAATCCAGAGTTTTGAGAAGATTGGAGAACCTTAATTTTTCGCCCGAAAAACAAAAAAAACAAAAGGGGTACCACTGTCGTTTTTTTTTCGGGTCGAATTTTTGAGTTTCGATATCTCAGCTCTGGAAGGGTCTAGAGCCTCCATTTTTGCACTCAGGTCTAAGTCTCATGGCCCTCTATCAGAATCCAGAGTTTTGAGAAGATTGGAGAACCTTAATTTTTCGCCCGAAAAACAAAAAAAACAAAAGGGGTACCACTGTCGTTTTTTTTTCGGGTCGAATTTTTGAGTTTCGATATCTCAGCTCTGGAAGGGTCTAGAGCCTCCATTTTTGCACTCAGGTCTAAGTCTCATGGCCCTCTATAAGAATCCAGAGTTTTGAGAAGATTGGAGAACCTTAATTTTTCGCCCGAAAAACAAAAAAAACAAAAGGGGTACCACTGTCGTTTTTTTTTTCGGGTCGAATTTTTGAGTTTCGATATCTCAGCTCTGGAAGGGTCTAGAGCCTCCATTTTTGCACTCAGGTCTAAGTCTCATGGCCCTCTATCAGAATCCAGAGTTTTGAGAAGATTGGAGAACCTTAATTTTTCGCCCGAAAAAAAAAAAAACAAAAGGGGTACCACTGTCGTTTTTTTTTCGGGTCGAATTTTTGAGTTTCGATATCTCAGCTCTGGAAGGGTCTAGAGCCTCCATTTTTGCACTCAGGTCTAAGTCTCATGGCCCTCTATCAGAATCCAGAGTTTTGAGAAGATTGGAGAACCTTAATTTTTCGCCCGAAAAACAAAAAAAACAAAAGGGGTACCACTGTCGTTTTTTTTTCGGGTCGAATTTTTGAGTTTCGATATCTCAGCTCTGGAAGGGTCTAGAGCCTCCATTTTTGCACTCAGGTCTAAGTCTCATGGCCCTCTATCAGAATCCAGAGTTTTGAGAAGATTGGAGAACCTTAATTTTTCGCCCGAAAAACAAAAAAAACAAAAGGGGTACCACTGTCGTTTTTTTTTCGGGTCGAATTTTTGAGTTTCGATATCTCAGCTCTGGAAGGGTCTAGAGCCTCCATTTTTGCACTCAGGTCTAAGTCTCATGGCCCTCTATCAGAATCCAGAGTTTTGAGAAGATTGGAGAACCTTAATTTTTCGCCCGAAAAACAAAAAAAACAAAAGGGGTACCACTGTCGTTTTTTTTTTCGGGTCGAATTTTTGAGTTTCGATATCTCAGCTCTGGAAGGGTCTAGAGCCTCCATTTTTGCACTCAGGTCTAAGTCTCATGGCCCTCTATCAGAATCCAGAGTTTTGAGAAGATTGGAGAACCTTAATTTTTCGCCCGAAAAAAAAAAAAACAAAAGGGGTACCACTGTCGTTTTTTTTTTCGGGTCGAATTTTTGAGTTTCGATATCTCAGCTCTGGAAGGGTCTAGAGCCTCCATTTTTGCACTCAGGTCTAAGTCTCATGGCCCTCTATCAGAATCCAGAGTTTTGAGAAGATTGGAGAACCTTAATTTTTCGCCCGAAAAACAAAAAAAACAAAAGGGGTACCACTGTCGTTTTTTTTTCGGGTCGAATTTTTGAGTTTCGATATCTCAGCTCTGGAAGGGTCTAGAGCCTCCATTTTTGCACTCAGGTCTAAGTCTCATGGCCCTCTATCAGAATCCAGAGTTTTGAGAAGATTGGAGAACCTTAATTTTTCGCCCGAAAAACAAAAAAAACAAAAGGGGTACCACTGTCGTTTTTTTTTCGGGTCGAATTTTTGAGTTTCGATATCTCAGCTCTGGAAGGGTCTAGAGCCTCCATTTTTGCACTCAGGTCTAAGTCTCATGACCCTCTATCAGAATCCAGAGTTTTGAGAAGATTGGAGAAACTTAATTTTTCGCCCGAAAAAAAAAACAAAAGGGGTACCACTGTCGTTTTTTTTTCGGGTCGAATTTTTGAGTTTCGATATCTCAGCTCTGGAAGGGTCTAGAGCCTCCATTTTTGCACTCAGGTCTAAGTCTCATGGCCCTCTATCAGAATCCAGAGTTTTGAGAAGATTGGAGAACCTTAATTTTTCGCCCGAAAAACAAAAAAAACAAAAGGGGTACCACTGTCGTTTTTTTTTCGGGTCGAATTTATGAGTTTCGATATCTCAGCTCTGGAAGGGTCTAGAGCCTCCATTTTTGCACTCAGGTCTAAGTCTCATGGCCCTCTATAAGAATCCAGAGTTTTGAGAAGATTGGAGAACCTTAATTTTTCGCCCAAAAAAACAAAAAAAACAAAAGGGGTACCACTGTCGTTTTTTTTTCGGGTCGAATTTTTGAGTTTCGATATCTCAGCTCTGGAAGGGTCTAGAGCCTCCATTTTTGCACTCAGGTCTAAGTCTCATGGCCCTCTATAAGAATCCAGAGTTTTGAGAAGATTGGAGAACCTTAATTTTTCGCCCGAAAAACAAAAAAAACAAAAGGGGTACCACTGTCGTTTTTTTTTCGGGTCGAATTTTTGAGTTTCGATATCTCAGCTCTGGAAGGGTCTAGAGCCTCCATTTTTGCACTCAGGTCTAAGTCTCATGGCCCTCTATAAGAATCCAAGTTTTGAGAAGATTGGAGAACCTTAATTTTTCGCCCGAAAAACAAAAAAAAAACAAAAGGGGTACCACTGTCGTTTTTTTTCGGGTCGAATTTTGAGTTTCGATATCTCAGCTCTGGAAGGGTCTAGAGCCTCCATTTTTGCACTCAGGTCTAAGTCTCATGGCCCTCTATCAGAATCCAGAGTTTTGAGAAGATTGGAGAACCTTAATTTTTCGCCCGAAAAACAAAAAAAACAAAAGGGGTACCACTGTCGTTTTTTTTTTCGGGTCGAATTTTTGAGTTTCGATATCTCAGCTCTGGAAGGGTCTAGAGCCTCCATTTTTGCACTCAGGTCTAAGTCTCATGGCCCTCTATCAGAATCCAGAGTTTTGAGAAGATTGGAGAACCTTAATTTTTCGCCCGAAAAACAAAAAAAACAAAAGGGGTACCACTGTCGTTTTTTTTTTCGGGTCGAATTTTTGAGTTTCGATATCTCAGCTCTGGAAGGGTCTAGAGCCTCCATTTTTGCACTCAGGTCTAAGTCTCATGGCCTTCTATAGGAATCCAGAGTTTTGAGAAGATTGGAGAACCTTAATTTTTCGCCCGAAAAACAAAAGGGGTACCACTGTCGTTTTTTTTTTGGGTCAAATTTTTGAGTTTCGATATCTCAGCTCTGGAAGGGTCTTACACATACTAGGAAAAACATGGAAAATCA